TTGTCTCTTGTTACATTCCTTGTTTGAAAGTCTATTTTGCCCAGCTGGTATGGCTCAGTGATTGAGCATAGACCCATGAACCAGAAGATCACAGTTCAATTTCCAGTCAGAGCACATGCCCAGGGTTGCAGGCTTGATCCCCAGTAGGGGGTGTGCAGGAGGCAGCATATCAATGATTCTCTCTCATCACTAATGTTTCTATCTCTCTCCCTCTCCCTTCCTCTCTGAAATAAATAAAAACATTTTTAAAAAGAAAGTCTATTTTGCCCAATATAAGTATTGGTACCTCAGCTTTGTTTTCATTTTCCATTTGCATGAAATATCTTTTCTATCCCTTTCAGTCTATGTATGTCTTTCTATCTGAATGGGTCTCTTCATGGCAGCATATATATGTACAGTTCTTGTTTTTTTTTTTCATTCAGCCACCCTATAGCTTCTAAATGGAACATTTAGTCCATTGATATATAAAGTAATTACAGATAGGTAAGTAGTTATTGCCATTTTAATTGTTTTCTGATTGTTTTTGTAGTCCTCTGTTCCTTTCTTATTCTCTTGCTCTCTTATATTGTAGTTAAGCGTTTCTCAACCTGTGGGTCGCGACCCCTTTGGGGGTCGAACGACCCTTTCACAGGGGTCGCCTAATTACATCCTGCATATCAGATATTTACATTACGATTCATAACAGTATTACAGTTATGAAGTAGCAACGAAAATAATTTTATGGTTGGGGGTCACCACAACATGAGGAACTATATAAAAGGGTAGCGGCATTAGGAAGGTTGAGAACCACTGTTGTAGTTGGTGACTTTCTGTGGTGTTGTGCTTGGATTCCTTTCTCTTTATTTCTTGTACTAGAGGCCCGGTGCACAAAATTCGTGCATGGGTAGGGTCCCTAGGCCTGGCCGGTGATCAGGGCCAATCAGGTTCCCTGCCTCCCTGCCTCCTCCTCCCCTTGCCACCCGCACACCGCCACCACACAGTTCCCCTCATCTCCATGCCACCTCCTTCCCTCGCTTCTTCAGCGCCATCCACCACTGGTCGCCTGCCATGTTCCATGCCGCCCCCTGGTGGTCAGCACAAGTCATAGTGAGCGATCGAACTCCCGTTTTCCCGGTCTAACTCCCGAGGGGACACTTTGCATATTAGATACACACACACACACACACACACACACACACATACACATATATACACACACACACACATACATATACACACACACAGATAGATAGATAGATAGATATAGATACACAGACAGACTAGAGGCCTGGTGTGCTCGGGGGGAGTGGGGTCCCTCAGCCCAGCCTGTGCCCTCTTGCAGCCCGGGAGCCCTCGGGGGATGTCCGACTGACTTGGAGGCGGGAGAGGCTCCCACCACCGCCACTGTGCTCGCCAGCCATGAGCCCTTCCTACACTTCCTACTTTTACCTTTATATTTTATAGTTGGTTGATGGATTGCTTTTACTAAATGTTTGCCTCTTTCCTATATTTTCTTATTCATATTTTTTATCTTTTCTACTTACAGAGGTATCTTTAACACTTCTGGTAATGCTGGTAAAGTAGTGAGCTCCTTTACCTTTATCTTCTCTAGGAAACTTTTTCTCTTTCCTATTCTAAATGATAGCCTTGCTGGGTGGGGTAATCTTGGTTGTAGGTCTTTGCTTTTTTTCATCACTTTGGTTGTTTTGTGTCAATCCCTTCTGGCCTGCTAGTTTCTGTTGAGAAATCAGCTGATAGTCTTATGGAAACTCCCTGGCACGTAACCAACTACTTTTCTCTTGCTACTTACAAAATTATTTCTTTGTTTTTAACCTTTGGTATTTTAATTATGATGTGTCTTGGTTTGGGCCTGTTTGGGTTCATCTTGTTTGGAACTCTTTGCACTTCCTGGACTTGTATGTCTGTTTCCTTCACCAGGTTAGGGAAGTTTTCTGTCATTAGTTTTTCAAATAGGTTTTCAATTTCTTTCTCTCTCTCTCCTGTTCTGGCACCCCCATGATGAGTCTGTTGGTACACGTGAAGTGGCCCCAGATTATAGCTTACAGGGAGACTAGCTGTGTGGAGAAGCGGCTATCTTGAGACAGTTTCACAGGGACCATGGATGGGAGGCATGGTGGCCAAAATAATTAGTCCCCAGTTGGATAGGATTTCTCTTGGGACACTGTCTCAGTTCTGGGAGTCCTCTCTGATGGATGGGTGTCAACATCTTGGCCTTAGACAGTTTGGGCTGATGTGGAGCTGACTGTGGGTGCTAAGGCTGGTATGGAAGGTGGTAGTGGTGAGTTTACTAGCCATGTGCTGCCTGATGTCCACTTGTTTGCCCCCTGTCATCTTACATCCTCATCTTATACCTCAATGATTGCATAGTCCGCCAGCGGGTCTTACTTCAATTCTGTTTTGCAGTTCTGTTCAAACCCTGCCTTGTCCCGTTCAGCCTGTAGCAATCCATTACGGTAGAGTGGGCCAAGTCGGACGAGCATCCAGAGTCTTCCGTGGTCTGGGTCCACCTGACTTCAGTCCCTGCTACCAGCACTCAGAGACCGAGGCCTCCAAGCCTGGTCCCTTACTCTCATCCGCAAGTACCCGTGGTCGGACTTGGCTGTAACAATTGTGTGTGCTTCTTGTCCCTCTTTGTCCAGATCTTACCCCTTCAAGGCTCAGCTTAAGTCCTACTTCTTTTTTTTGTTGTTGTTAATATATTTTATTGATTTTTTTACAGAGAGGAAGGGAGAGGGATAGAGAGCTAGAAACATCGATGAGAGAGAAACATCAATCAGCTGCCTCCTGCACACCCCCTACTGGGGATGTGCCCGAAACCAAGGTGCATGCCCTTGACCAGAATCGAACCCGGGACCCTTCAGTCCGCAGGCCGAAACCGGTTAGGGCAAGTCCTACTTCTTATATGACTACTCTCCCTTCTCTAACTTACATTTAGTCATCTGTAGAAACGTTTGCTTGGTTATAACCTGTGTCTCATGTGTAACTGATCAACCTGATTAATCATCCTCTGCTTTTCTGGAAAAAACATCTGCCTTAAATCTGCACCACATCATCTGTGGAAACACGAGGCAGGCCATCCTTCACTTAGGCCTGCGCCCCTGTCTCTCTTTCCTTCTCCAGGACCTAAGTCTTCTAATTGACTCTCCTTTCTCATCCATCTCTTTGCCTGTACTGGGTCGTCCCATAGCAGTGAAATATATTTTTTAAAATATGTTTTTATTGATTTTTCTTTAGAGAGAGAGGAAGGGAGAGGGTGAGATGATAGAAACATCAAGGGTAGAGAAACAGTGACCAGCTGCCTCCTGCATGCCCCCTACTGGGGATGGAGTCCACAACCCAGGCATATCGCCAGACTGGGAATTGAACCAGTGACCTCTTGGTGCATGGGATGATGTTCAATCCACTAAGCCACGCTGGCCGGCCCAATGAAATATTCTTAACTCCCATCTTTAAAAACAATCAGCTAACCTTGCTCTATCCGCATCCTTCCCTCACTTCTGCCCCACTTTTCTGCTCCTTGTCAGAGCAAACTAACAGAGCTGTCCCCACTCCCACGTCTTGCTTATCTTCAGTTTGCTCTGGTCTGTATTTCCTCTTTTTCTCACCTCCGTGCTCTCAGATCCCAGTGGACACTCTGCCACCTGCTCACCCTTAGCACCCTCTATTCTTAACCACTTTTTGGAACCTGTACCTGGTTTTCCTTCTACCTTACTAACTGCTCCTTCTTCGTCTCTTTAGTCACTTGCCTTTGTCTGTACACTCTGATTCTGCCACTGCGTCTAGTCCTGTCTCTAGTCTTGTCTTTCTCTTTCCAGTCTGAATGCTGGGGAGTCTCAGAGTTCTTGTTCCTCAAAATGTTAGGGCTTTCAACACCGTGCATATGCTAATGACACCCAGCCTACTTCCCATTTCAGACACGTGTATCCAGCTGCTGCTTACTGTTTCCACATGGATGCAGATGGGTATATTGTACTTAATTCTAAAAGTTGAATGTTCAAATGTATTCACACACACTCACACACATACATGTACACACTCACCCGCAGCCTCCCAGGCTCACTCCCTGTTCCTTTCTGCTCCTTAGTGGCCCTAATTACTTAACCCAGAAACATAGATATCATCCTTAATTCTCCTTCTTTGTATGTTAACATCCAATTTGTTGGCAAGTAAGTTCTGTCATTTCTACTTCCAAAACGGTCTAGTCATGTCTCTGACTCCACTGCCCCCTCCTTGTCTAAGCCACTTGACGTCCCCCTGGAATACTGCTATAGTTTCCCAACCCATCCCTGCTATTCCTCTCATTCTGCAATCCAGTCTCCACCATGGAGCCACACTGATCTTGGAAAGTAGATCAGATCATTTCGTTCTCTCCTTTAGTATTTTCCTGGGCACTTAGAATAAAATCCCCACATCCAAGGGCGGTGTGTAGTGGCTTTCTGCCTGCCTCTCCAGTTTTCTCCTAGATCCTGGCCCCCTTGCTCCTCACGCTGGGGTCAGGCTGGCTTCCTCTCTGTGCTTGGGCTCATCAAGGTCTGTCTCCCATCAGGGCCTTAGACACTTGTTCCAGCAACCTCTTTGTGCATGGGATTATATGTTCAATCCACTGAGCCACAGTTTCTCACCTTTATACACTCACCCTCAGCCTGCCAGGCGCATTCCCTATTCCTGGAAAACCAGGCAAAGGTATCACAGAAGCCAAGAGAAGGACAATGTCAGTCCACTGGAACACTCTGGTAGCTGCTTCCATTTAGTCTGTCACATCTTTTCACAATGTCATCTTCTTTCCTGACCACGGTGTTAAAGTTAGTTACTCTTTGTGACTTACTTTGTTTATTGCCGCCACTTTCGCATACACACTCACACAGTCTCATCGTCTCTCAGATGTAAGTTACTAAAGGCTGGGACCTCCTCATTATTGCTCGCTGCTGTATCAAAGTTAGCACAATGTATGGGACTCAGTCAGTCTTCACCTACTTGCTAAATGAACAACGATTGTTTTTATTTCATCCTTTTTTTCTCATGAATCGTATGCACTCAGCACAGTAGAATGAAATATGTTTCGTTTTTCTGTCTAGGTCAAGTGCTTGGGAACTCCTCCTGACTGAGTGAGCGCACGCCTCCCATTGCTGACAGACGTGATGTTTTACCGGTTGCTATCGGTGGTCCAAAGACAAAGAACCAGCCGAGGATGGCAGAACTGGCCCTCAGCCAGAAGTGGTGCATCAGCGGCCGAGGCGCATTCTGTCGCCCTGCCTGCCCAGGCGCAGGTGGTCATCTGTGGCGGGGGAATCATGGGCACATCCGTGGCCTATCACCTGTCCAAGATGGGGTGGAAGGACATTGTCCTTTTGGAGCAGGGCAGGTAAGGATCCACTGGGCATGATTCCCTCCTTCCCTCTCCTCCTCCTTTTGGTGATACTGTCTCACCACTAGCTAATCAGTGTTGCTAGGAGCATGAGAAGAATCACAGGTGGAAATCCTGTACTGGGCTTTGTTTGGTGATGCTTAAAACTCATGTTTCCTGGTTTTGGAGAGCTGGCAGAGTCCTGCAAACCAAGTGTCCGAAGCATGCGTTTATTCACGTTCAGAGCACATCTTGCCATCTGTTCTCCTTCTTATAGTCAGGCAGCAACACAAATCCTGGGGCCAAGAGCTCCCTCTAGGAGTCAGAATGAAATTGCCTGTATCCTGCTCTATTTGTTTGTTTGTTTTTAATATATGTATTTTTATTGATTTCCGAGAGGAAAGGAGAGGGAGAGAGAAATAGAAACATCAGGGATGAGAGAGAATCATTGATTGGCTGCTGCCTGCATACCCCACACTGGGGATTGAGCCCACAACCCGGACATGAGCCCTGACTGGAGATCGAACCATGATCTCCTGGTTTATAGGCTGACGCTCAACCACTGAGCCATGCAGGCCAGGCTGCTCTATTTGTTTTTGTTTTTCATTTAAGTAAGTTATTTTGCAGTCGCTTCTCGGCTTTTTGGCTAAGATCAAGTGTAGTATCTGTTCTTATCAGTAAGTTATTTTGAAAGAATGTAGGATTTACAGAAAAATTGAGTATACAGGAGGTTGTTCCCATCGAACTTACCCCCACTTTCACTTGTTATTAACATCCTATATTAGTGGTACCAACTCAGTAATGAACCAACATTGATATGTTGTTATTAACTATAGCTCATAGCTTTTTTGAATTCTTCATTTTACCCCTAGTGTTTTTTATCTGTTTCAGGCTTTTGTTGTTCTTTTGCCTACAACAAATTGGACATTTTTAAAAAGTTTATTATTTCTTAAAAGGCAATACATTGACATGAGTCAGAATAGAAAATTGTAGAAGAGTGTCCAGGGAAAGTCTTTCTCCCATCCCTGACCTCTGGCTTCAGGTTTCCCTCACTGGAGGCAAGTTAAGTTCCTGATGAATCGGACCAGATGCTCTCTCCACATAGGAACAGATCTGTGTTCTTCAGTATATATTGGTGTAAATGGGTGTCCATTTGTTTATTCCCTGTTTTATACAAGTGGTAGCATTCCTTGCCTTGCTTTTCTCAATAGGATTGTTCCACACTGTGGGATAAAAGCTTTCTTATTCCTTTTTCATGGCTGTATAATATTCCACTGTGTAGGTGAACTCCAAAATTTGAAATCAGTGTCATGTTGATGGACATGTAGGTGTTTCCATCTTTCGACAGACAGAACAGTGCTGTAGCTGGGACTTGAACTGGCTGCATTCACAGGTATGAGTCCACCTAACAGCCTTGTGGTCCATCCTGCAGGCTGGCTGCTGGCTCTACGAGGTTCTGTGCAGGCATCATAAGCACTGCCAGGCACTTGGGCATTGAGCAGAAGATGGCAGACTATTCAAACAAACTGTACCAGCAGCTGGAGCAAGAAACAGGGATCCAAACAGGTAAGCAGGGGTCTGCCATTTACTGGTGTGCCCGGCCCCAGACTCTGTTGCTGGGACTGTGTGTGGTCCCACAGAAGTTGGCCTGGTGAGTGGTCATTCAGACCTGAGTTGTAGTTTGGGCTCTGCCACTAGTCAGAGTATTACTTTGGGCAAGTCATTTTGCTTTTGAGCTGTCTTTGTTTCGTATTTTTATTTTATTATTTTAAAAAAAAATATGTTCTTGTTGATTTCAGAGAGGAAAGGAGAGGCAGAAAGAGAGGGAGAGAAAGAAACATCAATAATGAGAGAGAATCATCAATGGGCTGCCTCCTGCATGCCCCCTACTGGGGATTGAGCCTACTACCTGGGCATGTGCCCAGACCAGGAATTGAACCTTGACCTCCTGGTTCATGGGTTGAATGATCAACCACTGAGCCACGCCGGCCAAGCTTTGTTTCCCTGTTTTTAAAATGAGAAGATTGAATCATCATTCCAGACCCTTTTCAGATGGTATAATTCTTATGATATTAAGGTTTTCCTGGGCCATTTCCTGTATATTTCACTTGTTGAAGTGTAGTAAGTGGCAGCATTGGCTCCTACAGGAGGAGGAGGAGGAGGAGGAGGAGGAATTTTAAGTTAGGTGCTTGGAAGCTAAATCAGAGTTTGACCCATTGAAGTACCAGTCACTAGTAAGGATGTTCCTGACTCTACAGCATTCACACGTTTCTCCTTACCTGTGTAATTTGGGGAGAAGGACTAGCTAGCTAGCTCTGGAGTGAGTAGGAACTGTCCCAGGAAGAGGAGGACCCATCTACACGATGGTCCCGTACGATCGAAGGCAGAAAGAATGGCTGTCAGTTTGTTGTAAGGTGACGGATTAGCAGAAGCCCAACCTGGAGCCTGCTCTGGTGGCTGATGAGAATGTGGTAAGCGCACTCATCATCGTGAGTGGGTAGCGAGGCCCAGTGATGAAATTCCAGACACTTGCCTATGTCAGGGTCGTTCTTTTGAAGACATTGCATAAAATGAATCAGATAATTCGAGACTAATCCTGACAGAGGGTGGTAGCTTTGTCTTTTGCCAGCTGCAGTGGCTCTGCCATGTCATCAGTAGCAGACTATTCAAACAAGAGTCTAAGCACAGTGTGTGGTTTACCTCGCCAGCCCTTTTAGAAATCATGTGACCGCTGACAACATTTTCATTAGGGAAAGGGAGATTTGAAATTTTGATCACAAGTAAGGGTTTATCACATTTCCATTTTATATAGTTCATACTGTCAAGAAGTGTAACCTCATTTGTAAATTGTAGAGGAAGACTGATTGTCTAGTAACTAGGATTTGATAGCCGTGGAAGGAGAGAGATGCCAGGAGAGGATCCAGAGGCCTGGAAGAAGAGGCTGTGTATTCTCGGGCACATGGCAGGGCCAGGCCTGGGTGAGGCCAGTATGCATCCTGGGCGCCTTGACCCCATGGTGTCATTGCCCTTGGCCAGGTCTCCTGTTGAAGGGCAGGGCTCTCCAGTGAACGTGGTAAAAGTGCTTCCTGCTGCCGCACAGTCTCTGGCTTTTACTAGGGAAGATGCTGCTACAGGCAGGACAGGCAGGAAGCAGTCCCTTCTTTGGGTTTAATGATGGCAACAGGTACTTGAATCAGACATTAACAGGGTTTGAGTCAGAATAGGGTCCACATAATAGGCTCCTGTTCCATTGGGCCAGATACTAGTGCATTGCCCGGCCTTGCATCACTCAGGTGGTGCGATTCCACAGGAATCAGGGTTACAGGTTCTTTTCTGTAAAGTGAGTGAGCTTAGCTTGCTTTCTGGATCACCATCTGGAACCTTGTAGGCGCGACTTCTCCTTGGTACTTGTGGGCAGTGAGGAAGCCAGGCGAGCGAGAGAAGGGGACCAGCCTCAGTCTCACGCCTGTGGTCGTCCACCAATGGTGCAGGGAAAGGTGACAGGCCCCCGAGGAGGGAGGAGAGGCCGCCTGTCCCGCGTTGTGCAGGTGCCTGCCATGGTCACTTCACTCATGGACTGCTGGTGGGTCATGAAATAAGGATGAAGTGACATACGTGCACCTAGATTTAAGGGGAGATATTATCTGCTTCTCCTCTGAAAACAGTCCATTTACTCGAGATGTTCGTTCACTACCTGCTAATCAGACTCAGCAGATGACCCCGAGTCCTCATCCCCGACTGTGATGTTAGTGTTGGCAGTGCTTCAATCTCAGTGTGACTTTTGTCAAGTGAATGAGAGGTAACGTAATGGCTTTTATAATCTTTGGAAAGTATTCCATATAGTCCTTGATCTTATAATAAGGGTCATTCTTTTACAGCTGAAGAAACCTAGATTCAGGGAGTTGAATTGTTTTTCCAAGTCAGTGATCATTCATTTATAAAAAATTTAGTGGGATAAAAGGAACATATATGCAGTGGTACTCTGCTCTATGTAATCTATGGTAGTGAGTAGAAAATGACTTCTGAACCTTTTTCTGAAATTCAGGCTGTGTTAGCCACACGTCATTGGACTACTCTGGTAAACCTACTATATTTAAACACCAATCTCTGAACTTTCAGTTCTCCACACTGAGACATTCTTTTGTCAGTGAAGGTTATATTCATATGATGATTTCTAAAAAACTAAGAAAACAAATTATTCTCATTAATACTTCCTTTGAAATGATAACTGATTCAACTCTTTCTTCATAAGAACTAAGAGACATGGCATTTTAGGGGACTTGAAATTGACCCAGATGTAATAAGGTGGTGTCTGGTATGTTGATTTCAAACAACAGAAAATGACTCTGGCTGCAGTGGGCACAAGGAGTTTGTGGAAGGCTATTGGGTGCCTATAGATTTGTCAGGAGGTTGCCAGAGGCAGCGTGGAGGCCAGGACATGAGTCCCCACAGCAGGCAGGGCCTCAGCTGGAACAGGAGCCATCTGGCCTGGATGCTCTGCATCCAAGATGAGTGACCTCCAGCCATTCACCTGCTTGCTCAAGACCGAATATTCCAGGGGGTTACATGCCCCCAAAACTCCGGGGAGAAAATCTAAGCAGAGTGAAGAATATGCGTCTGGGTTATCTCCACCTGCCCCCCAAGTATTTTTTAGCCGTGGCATCTTTCATTTTTATTTTATGAGTGATTTCATGTGCATTAAAATCTCATTTCATCTTCACAAAACTCTGAGCCAAGAATGTTTGGATGGTGGCAGTGCCAGGACTCACCGCAGGTCTTCTCACTTATAATCCCGGGGGCTTGCCTCTTCGCCACCCCACGTTTGTCCTGGTCGGTCTCAGTCCGGCTGATTGATTGTCCTTACAGGTTACATACGGACAGGCTCCATCTTTCTGGCCCAGACGCAGGACCGGCTGATCTCCCTGAAGCGCATCAACTCCAGGCTGAAGTATGTGTGAGGCTAGAAGCCTGTGCTGGCTGTACTGCCCCCGCCCTCTGTCAGAGGCCAGTGACGTCATTGTCCCCTTTGTTCCGTGGCAGTGTGATAGGCATCCCTTCTGAGATCATCTCCCCCAAGAAAGTGGCCGAGCTGCACCCTCTGCTCAACGTGCATGACCTGGCGGGGGCCATGCACGTCCCCGAGGACGCGGTGGTGTCCTCTGCTGACGTGGCTCTTGCCCTGGCAAGTGCTGCCTCCCAAAATGGTAAGCAGACTGGGGACAAGGGAGGAAGAGGTTGTTGAAGAAATTGTCTCACAATAGGCAACGACACCAACTCAGCTACTGTATTGTACACTGGCTCTTTTATTTTTAAATATATTTTTATTAATTTCAGAGAGGAAGGGAGAGGGAGAGAGAGATAGAAACATCAATGATGAGAGAGAATCATTGATCGGCTGCCTCCTGCACGCCCCACACTGGTGGTCGAGCCCACAACCCAGGCCTGTGTCCTGACTGGGAATAGAACCACGACCTCCTGGTTCAAGGTCGATGCTCAGCCACTGAGCGATGCCAGCTGGGCTACACTGGCTCTTTTTGTTTTAATACACTATCTGTTACTATTTTTCCTTGGGGCCACATTTTTCTTATTGAAGTCCTGAGGAACCCTGGTTTAGTGCTGACTTAGTACCCTTCAGACTTCAGGGACTCCTTCCCCTCCTGAACTGAGAGGCTCCAAGGTTACTACACACCTTGGGGATTTAATCCACAGCTTGGATCATGTCCCGGGTTTGAGTGAACGAGGGAGGACACCTCAGTGTCCATGGAGTTGTGCAATTTGAATGAACTGATTCATCATGTGGGTAGATAGGATGTAAGCTGTCCTCTTTGAACTTTTCTCCCCTGCCCCTTTTATGATTCCTGGAATTGAACTGTGCACTAAAGTCTCTTATTAAATTTGTCTGCCATTTTTAACCTGGGGAAAGTCTCATTTACAGTCTCAGGGTGTGGTCCTTAGGGGTGTTTTGTTTTTTAAAATTAAAGCTTTGACCTGGCCTTTTCAGTATTTCTTATGAGTTGAGAATCTGCTGCAGCTGCCTTAATTGTGGACCATCTGAGGATCGATGCCCAACTCTTTCTTTACCTTGAACAGGTGTTCAGATCTATGACCGGACAAGTGTTGTTCACGTGATGATCAAAAAAGGTGAAGTTACTGGCGTGGAGACTGATAAAGGACAGATCGAATGCCAGTATTTTGTCAATTGTGCTGGTCAGGTAAGTTAGCAACAATAGCGGGATCTCTGGTTTTCTTATTTACCTTTTATCTCTGGGACTTTTGGTGTAGAGACTTAAGATTATTTAGGGACAAAGTAAAGGGATGCAGGGGGCACACTGAGGGCTGGAACTCGGGGCTCTTGTGCTCGAACTCGGAAACCTGCACTGCTCCCCTGTGGAGCTGTGGTACCTCCTCCTCCTCCCTGGTGAACTGGTGCTCCCCTGTCCGGGCCCTGGAAGCACTTGTGCATTGACATAAATCCCTGGCATTGGATCTTCCTGTGGTGGTTTGTTTCATTCAACAACCTAGCAGGTAAAGTATTAGGCTGTTCTGATGTGTCAGGAGCATAGATTCAGTTTCCAGAACACTAAGCTGCTTGTGCTTTGAAGACAAATTGGTCCTTTCTGTCCACTCTACAGTTTAAGGTGATGTAGGGATACTTCCTGTTCTGTGAAGCTCATTTATGATGGTACTTGGGGTTTGTCTTGAAGCCAGGCATTTCGTTAGAAGGCCTCCTTTGCTCCCCATGAGCTCCTTTTACTATGGGAAATCTGCCTTCTTTTGATCTAAAAGTAAGTTTTATGACTTAAAATGTCTAGTGTTGTTCCCCATTCAAATAATTAACCCAAAGCAGGCTGAGTCTTGGCTTCCCTCACTGACATTGTTGCAAGAGCACACACAGGCCACTTGAAATTAAACTCTTTTCAAGCGGCTGAACTTGCTCATGTGTCTTTCTGTTCCTCTTCCACCCACAATCAATCTGTCCATTTGTAGTGGGCATACGAGCTGGGTCTGTCCAACGAGGAGCCGATTAGTATCCCGTTACATGCCTGCGAACACTTCTACCTCCTGACTCGCCCCTTGGAGACCCCTCTGCAGAGCAACACACCAAGTGAGGACCTGCACTTTGTTTTTAATCTTGTTTCCTTGCCACTGTTCTGTCCTCTGAAGGAAGACTCTGCGAAGGACAGGCTGTGTCCGAAAGAGCTTTTCCTTTCTAGAGCATGTTACAGGGAGGGGGCCCAGTTCTGACTTTCCTTCAAGAACTCTTTATGAAAGGATGGTCAAACAGGCATTCTACTTAAGCAGTTTTTCTGCAAGCTAATTGTAGTCCCAGACAGAGGTCTAAATTGACAATATTTGGAATATAACCTGGAGTTTTTTACCTGAATGCTATAAACTCAGGGTATTCTGTGACCCCGAGTGCTGTGGAGAGGGCTGATTTCACGTGGAAGGTCTGAATCCTGCAGTGGGCTTGGCAGTGCCCCCTTTCCTTAGGCTTTATGTGGCACAGTGGCAGTTACGTAGTTTGGTTGTGAGGACTAGTCAAAGCTTCTACGTAACTGATGGGGTAAAGGGTAATCAGAGAAAGTCTCCATTGTGAATCTGCGAGGGGAAACCTCCCGGATGGCCTGGAAAGGTATTTTAAAGCTGATGTGTTCATGAGACGCTGTTCGTTAGCAAAGCCAACAGCGAGCGGGTGTTTCTGCTTTGCTTTTTTCTGTCCATTTAGAAAGCTGGCTTACATCTAACCCCTGCTCTTCTCTTCCACTCCCCACTCCCTTATTGTTCCTCTCCTCAGATATTGTGGACGCAGATGGCAGAATTTATATTCGCAACTGGCAGGGCGGCATCTTGTCTGGGGGCTTTGAGAAAACCCCGAAACCAATTTTCACTGAGGGCAAGAACCAGCTGGAGATTCACAACCTACAGGAAGACTGGGACCACTTTGGTGTGTGAACTGTATCTATAAAAATAAAAGCGTAATATGCTAATTAGACCAGACAGCCGAATGACCTTCTGGACATCCTTCCGGACGAAGCCGCTATGGCGGGGGCCAAGGCAGAGGTGGTTAGGGGTGATCAGGCAGGCAGGCAGGCGAGTGGTTAGGGGCAATCAGGCAGGCAGGCAGGCAAGCAGGGGCATGAGGCAGGCAGGCAGGTGAGCAGTTAGGGGTGATCAGGCAGGCAGGCAAGCAGTTAGGGGCATGAGGCAGTCAGGCGAGCAGTTAGGGGCGATCGGGCAGGCAGGCGAGCAGTTAGGTGCGATCAGGCAGGCAGGCAGAGGGGTTAGGGGCAATCAGGCAGGCAGGCAGGAGGGGTTAGGGGTGATCAGGCAGGCAGGCAAGTGGTTAGGGGCAGTCAGGCAGGCCAACGATTAGGAGCCAGCGGTTCCAGCAGTCAGACATCCCCTGAGGGGTCCCAGATTGCAAGAGGGTGCAGGCCAGGCTGAGGGCCCGCCCCCTTCTCCCCGTGCATGAATTTCGTGCACCGGGCCTCTAGTAGTAATAATAATGCCCTGTACTTATATAAAATGTTATTTTCAAAGTATTTTCAAGAACAGCATCTCACTTGATCTTTGTAACAGCCCCGTGTGGAGGTTAGAGAGGGCAGGCTACAGAGTTTGCTGGGTCTCAGAACAGTTACTCGGTAGCAGATTCAGGAGACTATTCTTGGTTAATGGACTTTTGGCTTATTACTTATTCACCTAAAATTGCTGCTGAAATTTTAAGCTAGGAAGAAACCTTTTCTTAGGATTTCATAGAAGACTAAAGACATTTTTAGAAAGCAGAATTATTTTGTTAATGTCCTTTACTCAATTTTAAAATACTTTTAATTTTATTTATTGAATAGTTAATATATTCACATGGTTCCAAATATAAAAGATATGAAAGGATCTATAATGAAGTTTCCTTTCTAGCCTTAATGGATTTTTTTAAAGTAAACTTTTTATGGTAGAAAATTTCAAGCCCCATCTACCTACCAGCCAGCTCCACAGTCTGGTGTCGTTGGTGACCACTGCCCCACTGGCCTGCTCCCAGATGATGGACTCACCTTAAAACAGGTTGGGCATCTGTCTTTGCAGCCATGCCAGCACAGGGAACCTGCCCTTCATTGCATCTCCCTCAGGCGCCCTGTGAGAGCTTTAGCACCGAGCCCTTCGAGACCTTATCTGTAACGTGTTTGCTCTTCCATAGCTCCTCTCCTTCCCAGAGCATCTTCTTTGTCAGTCTGCATGCCAAGCACCTCATAGGTGTGTTCCCTAATTCCAGCAAGGGCTCTGCTCTCTGATAAATGGCCCCATTGCTGTTCTTAGAAAACCTCTTCCAAAAGATTTTATGAAAGGAGAGGGAGGAGTTAGAAAGTATGAGGAGTTGGAAGGTTTGAATTCCCTGAAGCTGAGGACTCTGTTTGGCTGTTTTTATTGCTCAGAGCCCCTGTTGAGCTCCCTCCTGCGTAGGATGCCAGACCTGGAGACATTGGAGATCATGAAGTTGGTCAACTGCCCCGAGACCTTCACACCAGACATGAGGTGCATCATGGGTGAGTCTCCTTTGGTTAAGGGCTACTTTGTCCTGGCAGGAATGAACTCTGCTGGCCTTTCGTTTGGTGGAGGAGCTGGAAAGTAAGTCTTTGTCACTCACACTCAGTTCACTGGGCTTCTTTCTTTCTAGAATGATTTGTTAAATGGCAAATAATATATTTAATCTGGTATCTTATTATAGGAAGATACATGTAATTTTAAAGTCCCTTCAAAGTAATTACCATGGAAGGCTCTCCTGATGTTCCTGAAATGTGCAGAGTGACTTTGGAACCCCTATTTTGGAGTTAGTCACTAAGCCTATGGGATGGGATTCTTGTGTACTCTTTCAGCTGTAACAAATGTATTTAAATTTGGGAACATCCAAGTGTGGTGAGTGAGATAAATGATCATGCTGAGTATCACTAGTTTTATTGAATTGATACTAATAAAAATTTAACAAGCTGGTCATGAAAGGACAGATACTGTGTGGTTCACTCTGCGAGGTACTTAGAGTAGTCTAATTCATAATGGATGGTACAGACAGTAAAATGCTGGTTGCCAGGGGCTGGGGCAGGGAATGGAGAGTGATTGGTTAATAAAGAGTTTTAGTTTGGGAAGATGGAAGGTGGTGAAGGTTACACAATAATGTGAATGTCGGATGCCACTGAACTAGTATACGGTACACTTGAAAGTGGTTAAGATGGTCAGCTTAGTTATGTGTATTCACAATTTAAAAACTTTTAAAAAATTAATGAGGCCATTTTTCTTGAGTGACTTGTAGAATGGCTCTGAAAACAGTTACGGAAGTGGAGTTATAAAAAACCTTTGGAGCAGAGATGTGTTCAGATAACCATAACCTGTTTTACAGAGACAAAAATAAACACATGGATGTATAAATTGCAGTACATCTGTATACCTTTCAGTCTTACTTCTTCCTAGATGTCCCCGTGTCTTAAACACTTTCTGGGGAATCATCATTAGAACTAAAGTCCTCATAGTGGTCTTGTGAGCACAGCAGATGGATCCATGTTTGTTTCTTCCAGAAAGTTAAGGAAATTGCCCAGAATTGCTCACCCAGTCCCTGACAAGACAGGATCTTTGATCATGTTGGTTCTTGATTCCTGGTACAGTATTGAGTGAATCCCATCTGAGGCCCAACTACCACTGCCCCTCTCCCCCCCCGCAACAGGTACCTCGCTGAGTGGATGGTGTATGGTTATCCCTCAGAAAACGTCTGGGAGCTGGACCTGAAGCGTTTCGGAGCCCTGCAGAGCAGCCGCACCTTTCTGCGCCACCGGGTCATGGAAGTCATGCGTAAGTGGAGCTTTATCCTGTCGCACCTGCTTGCAGGTGTCTTCTTTAGTGCCTCTTCTGTCATTCAGAGGCAGGTTTTCCTCAGTTCTTCAGTAAATGCTTCAAGCTGAGCTTCTGATGTTTAATTGTTTCAGGCTTGTGTCAGGGACATGGTGTCCCTGTGATGTTTGTGGAACGTTTTCTCTCGCATCTTGTACCTGTTTACTTCGGGGGCAGGACAGTGGACTGACTTTCAGGTGGTAGTTCCTACCAGTCTCGGGCAGCAGCTTCTAGTATGTTCCCAGCATTGCCTGCTTCCCACTGTGCCTGGAAAGCCGATGTCAAAGTGAGTGCTCCGGCTCCCCACCTGGTCTTTGGGATCACGATTTGCTTTCCAATGCAGCGAACTTGCCAACTTATTCTGAAAGCCTCAAGCTTCTCTGAGTGACTTCTGTCATTAATCCATGATACTCTGGCAAGATAGAAAACCACTTCTCATGTGCATACAGAACATTTGTCCCTGCTCTTTCTCCTTGTTCTTGCTTCCCTCCAACTTTGAAGTATCCAGCTCTTCATTTTAACTTAACTAGGTACTCTTCCTTGTCTTGTATTTGTTTTCTAGCTTTTATTTAGGAATTAAACCAAATCAGGTTGTAATTTCATTTTTCTTTTCTTTTTTTAAAATATATTTTTATTGATTTTTTTTCAGAGAGGAAGGGAGAGGGATAGAGAGTTAGAAACATCGATGAGAGAGAAACATCGATCAGCTGCCTCCTGCACACCCCCCACTGGGGATGTGCCTGCAATCCAGGTACATGTCCTTGATCAGAGCATTCGGTCTGCAGGCCGATGCTCTATCCACTGAGCCAAAGCGGTTAGGGCTGTAATTTCATTTTTCTTACCCTGGGGAACTATTTTCAGACTTTGCCAAAATATGTCAAAACCAGAGGCCCGGTGCACAGATTCGTGCACCGGTGGGGTCTCTCAGCCTGGCCTGCACCCTCTCGCAATCCGGGACCCTTCAGGGATGTCGGAGAGCCAGTTTCAGCCCGATCCCTGCAGGCCAGGCCCAGGGACATGCACCAGGCCTAGTATGCATATAAGATCTTCGGTTAATCTCTTCCCACCCTACCTCCTTCCCCCTTCCCTCTGAGATTCATCAGTCTGTTCCATGTTTTCATGCCTGTGTGTTGAGCGTCTGCCTCCTGGTGGTCATTGTGCGTCATAGCTACCAGCCAGTCGGCAGGTCGGCAGGTTGCTTAGGCTTTTATAAGTATACTAGAGGCCTGGTGCACAAAAATTTGTGCACTGGGGCGGGGGGGTCCCTCAGCCCGGCCTGTGCCCTCTCGCAGTCTGGGACACCTCGAGGGATGACCACCTGCTGGTTTAGGCCCGCTCCCCGGGGGATTGGGCCTAAGCTGGCAATCAGACATCCCTCTGGCAGCCCGGGAGCCCTCGGGGGATGTCCACTTGCCAGCGGGGAGCAGGCCTAAGCTGCAGTC